GCTTTTGTCCATAACAAAACTTTTGTCCATAACTGGCTCATAACTCCCATAGCCCCTGTTACAGTCTTTCATTATAAAGCTGGGGTGCAGCTGGGGTACGGTGGCTCACGCCTGTAATCCCAGCACTTTGGGTGGCTGAGGTGAGAGGACTGCCTACGCCCACGGGTTCGAGACCAGCCTGGACAACTTGGTGAGACCTCGTCTCTACAAAAAATCAAAAATTAGCCAGGCATGGTGGTGCACACCTGTGGTTCCAGCTACTTGGAAGGCTGAGGTGGAAGGATCACTTAAGCCCAGCAGGTCAAGGTTGCAGTGGCCATGAACATGCCACTGTACTCCATCCAGGGTGACAGTGAGAATTCATCTCAAAAAGTAAAATAAAATAAAATAAAATAATAAAATAAAATGTTGGGCCACTTTAGGCCTCAGGAAATAGTATCTCTCTCTCTCTCTGACCTTCTTCTGTCCTCTTTTTTTTTTTGAGTTGGAGTCTCACTCGGTCGCCCAGACTGGAGTGCAGTGGCCGCTCCCGGCCACCGCAGCCTCCACCTGCTGGGCTCCGGCAATCCGTCCGTCTCAGCCTTCGGAGTAGCCGGAATTACAGGCGCACGCTACCACACCCGGCTGATTTTTTAATTTATTGCAGAGATGAGGTCTCGCTGCCCAGGCGGGTCTCGAACCTGCGGGCTCAGGCAATCCACTCACCTCAGCCTCCCAAAGGCACGGGATTACAGGCTGAACCACCGAGCCCGTCTTTCTGTCCTCTTTTTACCTGCCCAAAATAGGACTCTAATCTGACTGTGGGTCAAAAGACCCTTATTCCAGGGAGGGTCCTGCCCCATACCCTGGGTGAAGGAATGCTGCACAGTGCCAAGAAGAATCTGGGCAGGCCTTGCTGAATTTCACTGCTCAATCTGTTACCATGAGATCACTCCCATTTTGTCCAATCACATTTCTACACAGTTGTCAATCATGCCTATGTAACAAAGTCCCCTCCCCCACCCGGAAAAAAAAAAGACAGGGTTCAGAGAGTGTTCCGGGATGGTGGTGCACCCCAACTCCATGGGGACATACATTTCGGCACTTAGGACCTTTCTCAACCTCAACCTATGTATCTTTCTCTTCATCTGGCTGATTATTTGTATCCTTTAAAATATCCTTCATAGCCGGGCTTGGTGGCTCAGTCTGTCATCCCGCGCCTTTGGGAGGCTGAGGTGAGTGGATTGCCAGAGCCCGCGGGTTCGAGACCCGCCTGGGCCGCGAGACCTCATCTCTACAATAAATCAAAAAATCAGCCGGGCGTGGTAGCGCATGCCTGTAATTCCGGCTACTTGGAAGGCTGAGGCGGAAGGATCGCCGGAGCCCAGCAGGTCGAGGCTGCGGTGGCCGGGAGCAGCCACTGCACTCCAGTCTGGGCGACAGAGTGAGACTCCAACTCAAAACAATAAAAAATAAATATAAAAAATCCTTCATAATAACCAGTAAACCTGGCCAGGCGTGGCTCGCACCTGTAATCCCAGCACTTTGGGAGGCAGAGGCAAGAGAACTGCTTGAGTCCAGGAGTTTGAGACCAGCCTGGGCAACATAAGGAGACCCCAGTTTCTTTTTTTTTTTGATTTGGAGTCTCACTCTGTCACCTAGACTGGAGTGCAGTGGCTGTTCCCGTTGCCCAGCCAAGAAGACTCCAGTTTTTTGTTTTTGTTCCTTCTGCCTCAGTCTTCCAAGTAGCTGGAACTGTAGGTGCGCGCTACCATGCCCGCCTAATTTTTTTCATTTTTATTGCAGAGATGAGGGCTCGCCAAGTTGCCCAGGCGGGTCTCGAACCCGTGGGCTCAGGCAATCCACTCAGCTCAGCCTTCCAAGGCGAGGGACTACAAGCTGAGCCACCAAGGCCGGCTGTTTTTTGTTTTAAGTGAGAAAGCTGTTGGCTCTAATGGGCTGGCAAGCCAAGCCTTGAGAGTGTTGCTGGCTGCAGATCTTCAGGTCAAGGTTCTTGTCTGATGCCCAGGAAGAATGAGGTACACAGACAGCCAGAAAGTGAGAAAGCAGGATTTATTGAGAGGACAGAAAAGCTCCCACAGTGGGACGGGACCTGAAGGGGTTGCCCTTTTTTTTTTAATTATTTTTTTTGAGTCAGAGTACAGTGGCACATTCACAGCTACTGCAGCCTCGACCTACTAGGCTCAAGTGATGCTTCTGCCTCAGCCTCCTGAGTAGCTGAGACTACACAGGCCCAACTACACCTGGCTAATTTTTTTTATTATGGACATGAGGTCTTGCTGTCCTGCCCAGGCTAGTCTTGAACCCCTAGGCTCAGGCAATCAGCTCGCCTCTGCCTCCCAAAGTGCTGGGATTACAGGAGTGAGTCATCACACCTAACTGAACATTTAACTGTTGAGAGAGAGAGAGAGAGAGAGAGAGAGAGAAACAGAGGAAAAACAGAATTTGAATGCTTTTCCCAAAACAGGTCCTATAAGAACCCAGGCAATGGAGACTCGAGAGCTTCTTTTCCCATTAAGAAACACCGTATGCGGGCAGAAGAGGAATTTGGTTGCTCAACATTTTCTGTTTCCTTGTGAAGAATGCACCATAAAACTAACCGTAGGAAAAAGCTAAGAGGAAGCAGCCTCTTCCTTCTAGACGGAGGGCCTTGTGACCGCAACATTTCACCCTGACTGCTACTGCCTGACATTCGTAAAACTTTGCATTACACTCATCAGCAGTTCTCTGGCACTTATTTAAAAAATGCCAAGAAATATTTCAAAGATTTTTTTTTTTTCAATTGGAGTCTCACTGTGTGGCCCAGGCTGGAGTACAGTGGCACACACGCTCACAGCCACCCCGGCGTCGACCTGCTGGGCTCCGGTCATCCTTCCGTCTCAGCCTTCCAAGAAGCTGGAACGCCAGGCTCGGTGGCTCAGCCTGTAATCCCAGCGCTTTGGGAGGCTGAGGTGAGTGGATTGCCTGAGCCCACGGGTTCAAGACCC